AAAAGAGGAAAAGTCTTAAATCAATAATTTAAGCCCCTTCTTGAGAACCTAGAAAAAGAAGAGCAAAGTAAACCCAAACAAAGCAAACAGGAGGAAATAAAGGAGCAGAAATCAATTAAATTGAAAAGAAAAGCAATGGAATTGAGCTGCTGTTTTGAAAAGAGCAGTAGAATGAATTAACCTGTCTCAAGACTGACCTTTTTTTTTTTTTTTTTTTTTAAAGGCACAAACTACTGATAGGAATGAAATAGCAGATAGCACTGATGTGGAACAACCCAAGTGTGACAATTGCCTAACTTTCTGTTCTGATGTAGAGAAACTTGTGCATAACCTTGCAGCAGCCCAGGGCTGGATGAATAGAAAGCTGCCTATGCTTTCTGTTCTCCAGCATGCAGAAACTGACCCTCCCCTGAACTGTTGAGCACCCTGAGGCCTTGAGCTCCCTGCTTCTCTGCCTGCTCTGTATTAGGGCAGACATGGACCCCCTACCCTGATAGGACACTCCAAGCATGCTTAAACCGCCCCTTCCCAATTCACCCATAAAAGACTGTCCAACTTTCAGCCGGGGCTGGAGACTCAGAGTGTTAACTCCTCCGTGCCCACTGCTGTAGTGAAAGAGTTCTCCTTTTTCTCTCCAGAGCGCTGTGCTTTTGTCCCTCAGCATCTGTTTTTCCGCAAGAGCACTACAAACCTTGCATGTACAGAAAGATGAAGGTATACAAAAAACAACTTTGTGTACATGAATTTAACTACTTACACGAAGTGGATCAGTTCCTTGAAAAATGACCATAATTCACCCAATATGGACTAAATAATTTGATAGCCATATAATTTAAGGACATTTAATTCATAAAAGGATGTCTCCATACCCACGTGACTTCACCGGAGAATTCTACCAGATATTAATGAAGAATTAACATTAATTATACATGATCTCTTTCAGAAAAGTAAAGCAGGGACCAGCAGTTGGCATAATGACTATGTCGCTGGACTTTCTCATAGTCAACTGCAGTTCGAGTCCCAGACCTGGTGGCTTAAACTCACAACAGGCACATATGCGTGCGTGCCCCAGATACTGAGAAGAGAGTGGAGGAGAAGGGATTGCAGCCTGGCCATTTCCCCTTGGGCGGGGGTGGGGTGGGATTTCTCACTTTCTGTCTCTCTGTCTCTGTCTTTTTTTGCCCTATAGCAAAAACCTCTCCAAAAAAAAAAAAAAAATGGTGAAGCAGAGGGAACATTTCCCAGTTCATTTTATAAAGCTACTATTATTCTGATACCAAAACCAGATGAAGACAGACAATAAAAGGAAACTACAGAAAACTATATATTCTCACTCCATTTAATATGCCTTTTAAAATATATATTTTAGAATTATTATTTATTATTTTTTAATTTGACCAGAAAAAAGATATAAAGTGAAAAAGTAAGCTGCCAGGTCCAGGACTCAAACTGCAGTTTTCTATGTAAGAGTCCAGCATCTTAACCACCAATGCCACCTGCCAGCCCCACTATTTAATATACTTGTAAGCAGCATTTTCAGTTTATTCCTAGTATTGTTATGCCTTCATCATACTATCACTATTATTTTGTTAGAGACAGTTTCACAAGGTGGTTGAAGGCGAGAATTTTGAAACCCATTGCCTGGACTGGAATCTTTTTCGTTATCCTGTCACCAGTACAGTAGGAATGATCATAATATATACTGCAGGGTTGTTATGAAGATCACAGGAATTAGATTCAACAGTATTTGGCTCGTAGTTATCCTGTAAGTGTTGGTGATGAATGACTTTGTATTTATATTTTTGTTAGAGTTTCTAATTATATCCTTAGGTGGATTTTTAGAAGGGGAAGATCTAGGTGAAAGAGTATGAATTCTGAAAGACAACTGAGATCCAAATTGCCTTCCAGAAAGAACATAGAATAGGCACAGGATAGGGTAGTTTAAGTAGGTAGGGTTGTCTAACTTCTTTGGCAAGTTCTGCACACTGTATTTATAGCAAATAGATATAGGAATTTACACATACATATATATGCACCTAAGGCACATGGATTTGATTATAGCCTTTTATGGACCGAATGGAAGTGAGGACAAACTGATTTGCAGTTTAATACTGATGCTGGTACTGGAGAGAGATTGAAGAGGTGAGATGTGAATGTGACCAATGTATTATTGGTGGAGTCATGGTGAACTGGGTCTCTACAGAACAGATTTAGAAGTAGTTTTTAGATTTTGTACTTTTTTTCTAAATTAAAGCAGAGACCAATAATTTTTATTGAGAATGGTTGGAAATATATTATCTCACAGTTCTGTGAGTTACAAATCTAAAATGGGTCCCATTGATGATGGCTGCATTCCTTACTGGAGGCTCTGGAGAAGAATCGCTTCCCATCCATGTTGCTCCCTGAATTCGTCTCTGAGTTGTAGGCTGGAGGTCCCAATTTCCTTGCTATCAGCTGGGGCGGCAGTGGGTGGGGACATTCACCTTTACCTCCTTGCACATGTGGCCTTACGTAGCTGAGGCAGCAGCTGCAGGTCAACTCCTCAGCATCTCTGACTTCCTTACTGCCACACCTCTCTTCTGCCTTCTTTGCCAAAGAGAAGCTTCTCTGTCTCTTTTGTTTTCAAGGTCTCATGCGATTACATTGAAGTCACCTAGGTAATCCAAGTTAATCTCCCTATGAAGGGACTTCAGAAAGTTCAAGAAAAAAGGAGTTAAAATATGAGTTTATTTTGGAGGAAAAAGTTGAAATCCATTGTGTATTCATTTATTGTAGATCAGTTTTAATAGGATAAGGCAGTTTTTAGGCTAGTTTTCTTTTTTTTTTTTAATAAGAATTTTAATGGTTAAAGGAATACACTTGGTTACTATTCAGCAAAATAGAAAAACACCATTTCCTAATGATGCAGAATAAATAAAGTATGTTTATGCGCTATAAGTTGCAGGAAGAGATAGCAATGTGGCTGCAGGGGCGTGTTGAGTTTGCAGGTCTGTTTGGTCAAGTCCATGGGTGTAACAGTGGGAAGCTGTTGGGAAGCAACGGCAAGGTTCACAGACTCATGGTCTAGAAGGTACCCCTGGTAAAAGGAGACCTCAGCCTAGAAGAAGCCTTCAGACAATATAATCACTGAGAAAGCATCGGCTTCTCATCTATAATATGGGGCTATTAATACCTCTACATAGTAATATCTGTAAGTTATTGCACCTAATGAAGTCAAAAGCAAAAGTATTATTAATGCTGTTAATAATCTTAACCTTATGAATGTTTATATACTCTACCCTTCTCTTCAGTTAAACCTTCTGTGTCCTTATGTGTAAACCGAACAATTTCAGAAGTTAGAGGTGGTCATCTTTTACCTGTTTAGTTATTTAAGAGTCTGAGACTTTATGAGTAACTCCTTGCTGACTTACACAGTTACCAGTGAACGGTCTGTGAAGGTGTTTGTGCATTTATTCAACAAGTATTAGAGTAATCAAACTGGGGCTGGCATGGCAGGTGGTGTGATGGTTAAGGTCCTGGACTCCCCACAGGACTGACTATAGTTCAAATCCCAGACCTGGCAGCTTGTTTTCTCACTTTCTTTCTCTCTCTCTGTCTCTGTCTGGTCCAATGAAAAATAATAATATAATAAATAAAATTAAATAAATAATTATTTTTTAAAAAATAAATAAAGTGATCAAACTGTTTGTAACTTCTGTATCCTAGTTTGGGTGGCCCCAAAGCAGATTAGAGAGGAGAGTGGTTTTAAGTGGCTATCTGGGAGGTGAGCACAGAAAGCTCTCTGGTTAAGGGAGGCCTGTGGTAGGCATATACAAGTGGACCACTGGGTATCTGGGGTTCAGTCCTACTGGGAGGCCCCAGGGACTTTGTGGAGCATGGCTTAGAATTGTCCCAGAAAGCAGCGCCAGCAGGGGACATGGTTAAGGCACTAGATCCCACATGACTGACTGCATGGTTTGAGTGCTAGACCCAGCGGCTTGAAAATCATGCTGGGTATTGTGCATGCATGCCCAAGATCTCTAAAGGAGAAGGCATTGCCTCATGGCCATCCCCCCCAAGGGTGATTTCTCACTTTCCCTTTCTCCTGTCTTTCTCTGGTTCCAGCACACACCCTGTAGCAAATAATAATAATAAACAATTGTCCCCCGAAGTGGCAAGGAAGCCAGGTTTCCCACCTATCATTTGTTGAGGGTCATCCCTGTGGTGTAAACTCCCTGGCACTTTGGACTGGCCCACACAGGGGTCAGCAACCAGAAAAACGCCACTGGGCAGAGTCGTAGGCAGTTTTCAGTGGTAGGTTTAGAAACTGTTTCCAGGTGATTCTCATTGGCAAGCTGAGGGGACTTTGCGTGTGTGTGTTAAATGGTGGACTGTCTGTCATGTTAAAGAAAGTATAGTTAGGGGAACCAGCAGTTAGCGTAATGGCTATGTCGCTGGACTCCCACGTAGTCGACTGCAGTTCGTGTCCCGGACCCGGTGGCTTAAAACTCACGCCGGGCGCGTGTGCGTGCGTGCCCAAGATCCCGAGAGGAGAATGGAGGAGAAGGGATTGCAGCGTGACCATCCCCCCTGGGGGGTGATTTCTCGCTTTCTGTCTCTATGTCTTTCTCTGTCTGCCTGGTGAGTGCACGTGCCCTATAGTGAAAATCTCTCTTAAAAAAAAAAAAAAAAAAAAAAAAAGAAAGTATAGTTAGGGCCCCGCAGGTGGTGTAGTGGTTCTGGTCTAGACTCCCACATGTCCTAGTCTCAGATCCAATGGCTTGAAACTCCCACTGGTACCTGTGTGTGCTTGCCCACCATCCCAAGAGGAGAATAGAGAGGGGATTGTGGCATGTCCATTCCCCCTGGGGGGGTTCTCATTTTTCCCTCTATCTGTCCAGAGAGTATGCATGCCCGATAGCAAAAATATGTCTCTATAAAAGAAAAAAGGGAACGCACAGTTAGTGCCGGTCATAAGTGATGAAAGTTAGAGGTGGTTAACGTGTACTGTTTCTCTTTAGGATTTTTTGCTGCAGCAGACCATGCTGAGAATTAAGGATCCTAAGAAGTCTTTGGATTTTTATACTCGAGTTCTTGGAATGACGTAAGAAAAGTATTACTGGCATCTTGCTGTTTGAATACCTAGCTTTGCCCATACAGGGAATGCTTTCAGACCTGTTTGAAAAAGTAGTGTTTCTTTCAGAAGTGATACAAGTTCTTCTGGCCAGAAGTCTGTGACTAAGCCTGACTGGGTAGGGTGTCTATTAAATTCCTTTCTTTCTTTTTCCCAGTCAGGATCACTGGGCAACAAAATACACAAATACTTGCATCTCCTCCAACCTCTTTTCTCTCCAAGAACCGCCCCTAAATCCTTAGTATGTTCAGATACTTTAGATGTCCTAACTGCTTTAGACATATTCCTCAGAAAATGAGTGGGCTTACTCAAGACTGGCCATCTACTCCATTTTTATAACCTTTGCTGAACAGGTTATATCTACTGGTCTTAAAAACCTTAAAGCATATTTGTTTGTTTGTTTATCTCCAATTTTATTGAGGTATAATAGACAAATTGATTTGTTTCACTAAATAACATGAGCTTTTGTCTTTTTTTTTTTTTGGAGAGGTTTTTGCTAGAGGGCGCGTGTGCTCACCAGAGAGACAGAGACACAGAAAGCGAGAAATCATCCCCCAGGGGGGATGGCCACGCTGCAGTCCCTTCTCCTCCATTCTCCTCCCGGGATCCCACATGTGCCCAGCGTGAGATTAAGCCACTGGGTCGAAGACTTGAACTGCGGTCGACTACATGGGAGTCCAGCAACATAGCCATTACGCTAACTGCTGGTCCCAGCTTTTGTCTATTTTGGATCATATAGGTACATGAAGAATAAAACTAAATGATTCTTAATTTACTGCCTAGATAACCTGCACTAATGTTGAGAGCAAAATTCTAGTAATATAGTATATATTTATGTTTAGAAAATTTAACTAGTTCAGAAAAATGCAAAGTGAAAAGTGATTGGCTGGCAGGTGGCATGGTGGTTGAGGTACTAGACTCCCACATGGCCGACTGCTGTTCAAATCCCAGACCTGGCGGCTTTCTCTTTCTTTCTCTCTCTCTGTCTGTCTCTGGTGAGTGCATGTACCCTATAGCAAATTGAAAATAATAATACTAATACTACTACTAATAATAAATAAAAATTTTTTTAAAAAAAAAGTGATAGCTTCTCTTCCATCCTCTATTTCTCCCCAAAGGTCTCTGCTGTTAACAATTTCTTGTGATTCTTTCCAGGAATATATGAAGGACAGAATGAAAACAAAGTTATTGAAAACTTCATATTTGTTAGAAACTTGACTCGTTATTCCATTCAGTCCTCACAGTAGGCTTAGGAGGTAGCTTATATCCCCATACACGTGAAGAAACTAAAGCTTAAAGGGAGTAAGTTACTGGTCTCAAATCCCACTTGGCAGAGACAGATTTTGAATTCATGTCTGATTGACTTGGTGATTTTGTTTTAAAGAGCCCAAAAATAGGGACCAACAGATGGCATAATGGTTACATTGTTGGACTCTCACATGGCTCACTGTGGTTCAAGTCCTAGACTTGAAGGCTTAAAACTCATGTTGGGCATATGTGCGTGCATGCCCAAAATCCCAGGAGGAAAATGGAAAAGGGATTGTGGCATGGCCATCCCCCTGGGGAGTGATTTCTTGCTTTCTGTCCCTCTCTGTCTTTCCAGAGAGTATACATACCCTATAGAAAAATTTTCTTTTATAAAATAAAACAAGACAGAGTACTGCTTAACAATGAACTGGAAGATTAGTACTAACAAAAGCAAATTTCAGTAGGTTCGTTTGCCTCAAATCCCATCTGATTGGTCTGTTTGGCTTCTACAGTCTTTAGTAGGTACAGAGATAATTGTTCATGGTAGAAGTATTTGAAATGTTTGATACTTTATTACAAACACATTAGAAAAAGTCTTATTTAGGACCAGCAGTTGGAGTAATGACTATGTCGCTGGACTCCCATATAGTTGACTGAGGTTCGAGTCCCAGACCCGGTGGTTTAAACTTATGTCGGGCACATGTGCATGCGTGGCCAAGATCCTGAGAGGAGAATGGAGTAGAAGGGATTGCGGCATGGCCTGGGGTGATTTCTCGCTTTCTGTCTCTCTGTCTCTCTCTGTCTTTCTGATAGTGTACCAAAGCATATTACACAGCACTTATAATTAAATAAAAGATTTGGAGCAGAACTCTGCAAACTTTCCTGTTTGCTGTGCTTCAGCCATTTGATCCCTTTGATTATATACAAGGTCATCTGTGAGCATTTAATCCTCAATTATCAAAACATAATTAATTGTATTATGTACATCCTCATTCTTATTCCTTGCCAAATAATCCTACCTGCTTTAAGCTCACTTCATAGCCAATAACATCAACCGTCTTCTATAAAACTTCAGGATTCCTTCACTCTTCCTGTCTTACCAGGCTCTCCTTTTCCACTCTCTTTCCCTCCTA